GTGACCCTTTATATTCCTCTTAGTTAGCAGTGGTTTTTGCTTTGCAAGTCTCCAATTGTTACTAATCTCTTTTTAACAGTAGAATCATGAACACTGAGGTGAGAGAGGCCTGCAGTGCCTTTAGATGTTTGTCTGGGCTCTTGGATTTTTTTTTTTTCTCCATTTGTAGATAATGGCTTTCACAGTGGTTTGCTTAGTCCCAGAGCATTAGAAATGGCTTTGTGTGCCTTTCCAGACTTATATATATTTTAATAACTTTCCTATTCATCTCTTATGAAATTTCTTTTGATCATAACATAGTGTACTGCTTGCTGAGACCTTTTAGTTCACATTGCTGGAAAGGTTCTATTTAATTGATGTTTAGATGTTTGGATATATTTGTATTTTCTTCTGTAGTACATAACATGTTACAAATTAACCCTATGTGTCACAAAACACTGATGCTCAGGACACCAATGTGAGGAGTTATTTAAAGATTCACAGTAAATTCTAATTCATAATCCAAAAATAGGCATAGAATCAACAAACTAGTAAAATGAATACTGTAATTACAACATACTGAAAAATCCATTTAAGGGCAGGGGAAGTCTGGAATGTGACTCCACGGGGCATGATTATGTAGATATTCTTTAATGTCTAGTGTAAATTAGGTAATATACTCCATCTTTTTGTACAGTAGCATTAATTTGTACAGTAGCATTATTAGTGTTCAAATAATAGTAGCAGATGTAATTTTTTTATTTAATAATTTCCTCCAAAATAGAGTTTATACCAATTCCTGTCCTTATTGACACTGATTTGGAGAATCTTTGTAAGACCAGGCTTCTATGAACTCTGAAAATCAAACTGAAACGACAGTAAATATGACAGTCCCTATCAGAACCACCTATCACGGCTGTAGTGCACATAGCATTGTTAGTAGTAGCATTGCCATAGTAGTGTCAGAATGACAGGAATGACATCCCTGTCATTCTGACGCTACTGGAACTATTGAAACCGCACACTGACAGCTGGCGATCACCAAATATATAGATAATAATAATAATAATATGACTAATAATACTAAAAATGCATTATTACACTACGTCTACTTTCACAATATAAAATAGAGCCCATCATATTCATTCAGAGAGATCAAAGGATACTTTTTCAATGAACTCAAATGCATTCAACTGCCAGTTTATTAGGTAATACCTACTTTATATCTACACTCACTGCTTGTACCAGGTAGTCTAAATCACTGGACGCACAGACTTCAATGCGTGTCTGTTAGTTTTGTATCAGAAGCTTTAAAGGAGATTTTCATGCAAACTGTGCTGTTCACGGGAAAGAGTTTGAGTTAAATGAATAAACAATGCAATACTGCAGTGAAGTATTTGAACATTTGAGTTGCTAAAATATTGAATTCCACCAAGATTGATGAATAATATAGACTGGGCTTCCTGTGTAGTCTAATAACCTGGTTTAAAACTGAAAACTGAAACTGAAAACTGCTGCCCTGCCTGCCATCAGCCTCACTGATTGATCTGCCTAAAATAAACAAAAATAATGGTAAGACAAACCAATAATACTTGATAACAAAATGAGGAAACATATAAGTGGTCAACTCTTGTTCTGAGTACATAAAAGCCATGTTGTCTAAACATGACACTTTGGCTATTCTCTAGTATAGCAATTTAAGCCTTTTAAGCCTTTAAAAGCTGATTGCCTATGTTTAGCAAGGACAATGTTACAAGGACATCAATCAATTTATTTCCTTTAATAAGGCTGAAACGGTACAATTGCCTACATATTAGATGAAAAAATTCTTGTTCTTCCTTCCACAGTCCACATAACTGACATATTTACCAGTAACCTGGTTTTAAATGTAGACCACCTGTGGAAAACTGCTGTCTTGCATGACTAACATCAACCTTAATGCTTGAACTGTCTAAAATTAACAACAGAAAGAATGAAAAAAAAAAAAAAAACATAAAATACAAATACACATGTTTTAAGGTAGGTTTTGTTTATACGGCATGGATAACCTACATTTTATTCAGGGTTGTATGTCTTTATTTATATTTCATCTAAACTTTGCTGAAATACAAAACAATTTCTCTAAGGTAAGCCTCCTCTGTTCATACTCTCTCATACCCTGCAAATACCCTGCTCATACCCTCTCATACCCTGCAAATACCCTCTCATACCCTGCAAATACCCTGCTCATACCCTGCAAATACCCTGCTCATACCCTCTCATACCCTGCAAATACCCTCTCATACCCTGCTCATACCCTCTCATACCCTGCAAATACCCTGCTCATACCCTCTCATACCCTGCAAATACCCTCTCATACCCTGCAAATACCCTGCTCATACCCTGCAAATACCCTGTTCATACTCTCTCTTACCCTGCAAATACCCTGCTCGTACCCTCTCACATGTCCAAAATGGGCTAAAATGCCAGATTGCAGCCTTCTCTGGCCCCACAGATCACAAAGGTGTGGGCCTGGTGTCGATTGAAATCCACTGAAAGGCTCTTTCAATACAAAATGCAGATCAGTGCATTTTTCCTGGGGTACAACTTTAATTGACGACCCACCACCAACAACAAAAAGTATGAAGTTATAAATGTATGTAATATGTTTTTAACATTTTAATTGTTAATATTTTGCTTGTAGATTTGTAGTATTTTATTTGAAACACCTGGCAACCCCCCATTAGAGCTCAAACCACCTGGGGGGGGGGACTCTTCTTTTGGCATATTTTAAAATGCGAAACTCCTACGCAAAATGTGATAAGGTTGGCAAGTGTGAAACTGTCATTTAAATATTGCGCTCTACACCATATTTTATTTTCACCTTATTTTTTGTGAGGGCAACCTTCGTCGATGAATAATGACGCAATAACACACACACACACACACACACACACACACACACACACACACACACACACACACACACACACACACACACACAGTGTTGCCAGATCCGTGGGTATCCTACATTTTTAGAATTGCGTACACAAATTAAAACACTGTATGCTATGCAGTGTGGTTATGTGAAGAGCTGAAATGGTGTATAAGTAAATGTAGATAACTACTTTTATAGTTATAATCTATATATTATAGTACGCTATACCTTTATGCTATACCGTTATGAACCTATTTGTTATAGTACGAAATCAGTTAAGGACAGTGGCCTAATGTAAGAAGAACAGTCTCTGAACTATTTAAAATAATAATAATAATAAAATAAAGACCTGTTATTATACATCCACTAAACTGGCTGGTTGTCATAAGGTTCCTGGACAAAAGGAATCAGTTTCTGAATTACAGCTGATAATTCTACATCGTAGGCAAATTATTTTAAAGAAAATAACACAACAAATCTCAACCAATTTCTAATTATTTAAGTGAAGTAATGAGGAATGAGCTGGTAAAGATGCTCTGCCAGTGGGAGCAGCTCGGCCTGCTATCACAGCTGCTAGCTGGTCAGACTAAGCTGGATTTTTCAGTTTTCAGAAAGAATATATCTTTATGTATGTTTTAATCTTGTTTTGTTACCAATATGTATGTTATTACCTTGTAAAGAATGCATTTGTTTAAAGTAAAGCAGGGCTGGTTTGATTAAAAAAAAAATTAAATCACACTGATCTGGCAACCCGGATCATACCGGCGCAAGTAAACAATACAGGGATATTAAGCGGTAAGCTGTGTGGTGAAATTATGGGTTTTCTTGTTTTTTAAATAGTTAAAGATTTGTATATATGTGTTATCTAAAACCGTGTGTTAAGCCTATAGAATTAATCCTTAAATCGCTTCACTTGCGTTACCAGTTGGCGAAATATGGCAAGTTTTAGCAGCGCAGTTAGCGTTAGCTACCTATGTGGATGCCTAGTTCACCCGGCTAAATAGGTAGCTTGTTTGGCTTGTTTTGCTTTTATGTACAAACCATAAATTGTGCGCAACTTTAAATACTGTCTGAGTGTCTGAACGCGGAGTGTGTAGTCTTTTTGTGTAGTACGGCCTACGGTGCAAAAACGTCTCACTCGTTAGCTAACTAGCTAAAACGTCTCACAAGCTATTAGCTTGGTTGAAAAAAAAAAACAAAAGACGATCACGCATTTTTTTTTTTTACGTATGCAACTTTTTTTTTTTATTATTCGAGCGCACTTAATGTTCGTCTTTGCATCTGGGCTGAGTTTGATTTTTCTGTTTTTATTTTGCAGAAGGGTGGATTAAGCAGGACTTGCTGTTTCACATGCCGGTGGAAATGAAAGGGTCACTGCTTCCAATATATTTGTGCGATAGCTGGATGCTTGCCTTCTACACTCAGTTAAATGTTATTGATTTTATTATTTGTACATGCTTCTGATATTTTTCCCCTGAACACTTCATTTTTTAGGCAGCAGAAAAGTCCGGACCCTGATTGCAATGTTCCTGTAATTGAAGAAGGTATAATTAACCTATAATTATCCTACGTTAATTATTAAAAAAAAAAAAAAAAGGGCTGGGTGGTGTGACAAATATCTTCTCACAATACTTAGTCTTTCACACAGGTACACAAAATGTATCATGATGTGTAGCTTCACTGACGTTTTGTTAACAGCATGCCGAGTTAGGAGCCGTATTATGGAAATCTATTTAAAAAAACAAAGTTTAAACATATACAGTTGGTATAGATTTTGTGCTGGTGCATAAAAGATATTATCAGCCAAACAGTTACTTATTGCAGCAGTTAGCTTTGGACTTATGAAAGCACTGACACCTGATGAAACCCAAAATACTGGGTAAAAATTTCGATGATGATAATATAATTTTGGTGTTTATATCATTTTTTTCCCCCCGGCTGCTCCCATTAGGGGTCGCCATGGCAAATCGTTGGTCTGCCTATTAGATTTGGCACAGTTTTTATGCTGGATGCCCTTCCTGGCGCAACCCTCCCCGATTTTATTCAGGCTTGGGACCCGCACTGGAAGTGCACTGTCATGTGCAACCCCAGTGGCTGAGGTTGGTTCCCTGGCCGGGAATCGAACCCAAGCGCGGCAGTGAGAGCACCGAGGCGTAACCACTAGTCCTCCAGAGACCCATAGATGTTTATATCATGTTTATATGTTTATGTCAATTATACAACAGTTAGTTCCGATCCACTAATTTGATTGTCGAATGATGTTCCAAGAATGCTGATATTCCATATAACTGCACTGGTGCATTTCACTGTTGGTCTCACTCCTCTTGTCTGTGTTCACTATTTAAATTGTCAAGTCTAGCAATAGATCATTACATTGAAACTAATAGTTTGTTACATTGTTACTACATTTACTACCGGCTGTCAGTCTGTATGTTACACGGCAGCACGTGACACTCTATCTAGGTGTGGCTTCGTTGATGGGGCAGAAAAATGCAATAATTTGTTTAACAGCAGCTCTAACAGTAGTTCCAGCTGTATTTCAAATCACAGGTTTATTTTGATACAGTCCTAATATGTTATTGATTTTATAGTAATAAGTCATTCACAGGGATTTGTATGGTGGCTCACATAATTTAAGTATAGTAGTACAGTCATAGGAAAAAGAAAGTACACCCTCCTTCAATTCTAGGTTTTTAGCTATCAAGGCCTAAAGAACAATTGTGAGATCTTCACCAACTTCTAACAAATAACCTCAGTTGATTAATTTCATGTAGTCATTTTTTTCCAAAAAGTAAACCAACATTCAGAAACCAGGTGGGGAAAAAATAAGTACACCCTATAAGTCAGTAGCATGTAGCAACAATAACTTTAAGTAAATGTTTTCTGTAGGAGTTTATCAGTCTCTCACATGGGTTTGGAGAAATTTTGGCCCACTCTTCTTTACAACATTGCTTCAGTTCATTGATGTTTGAGGGCATTTGTTTATGCACAGTTCTCTCAGTGGGGTTGAGGTCTGCCCTTTGACTTGGCCATTCCAATACCTTCATTTTTTTCTTCTTTAGCCATTCAGATGTTGATTTGCTGGTGTGCTTCGGATGATTGTCCTGTTGCATGACCCAATTTCAGCCCAGCTTAAGCTGTTTGACAGATGGCCTCACATTTGTCTCAAGAATATTCTGGTATAAAGTGGAGTTCATTGTTGTCCCACCCCAAATCATCACCCTTCCACCACCATGATTGACAGTTGATATGGGGTGTTTGTGGCTATACACTGCGTTCGGTTTTCGCCATGAGCATGATGACCAGACATCACCACCTTGGTCTCATCAGTCCAAAAGATATTGTTCCAGAACTTTTGTGGTTTGTTGAGATGCAATTTTGCAAACCTAAGTCATGCTCCATATTGTTTTTGGAGAGAAGGGACTTTTTCCTAGCCACCCTTCCCTGAAAGCCATTTATCAGATTGTGCTGTCATAAGCACATTTAACATTTAATGTGCTCACAGAGGCCTGTCACATGATGTCGCTGTTCCGTTTTTATTTATGTCTCTGAGCATTAAACAGTCTGTCCTTGGAATTTGTGTTACTCCCACTCCTGGGAAGATTGGCAACCCTCTTGAAGGCTCTCCATTTGTAAACTGTCCTTCTCGCTGTAGAATGGTGAATTTTAAATGGTTTGGAGATGGCCTACTAACCCTTCAAAGATTTATGTGCAGCACTAATTGCTTCTCTGAGGTCATGGCTGATGTCCTTTCTACTCCAGAACACCAAACTGCCAGAAGTTCTGCTTTTATAAAGGTGGTCACACATCTTGATGATTAACTAATCTTGTACATTTCTTTAGTACACCTGGCTGCTAATTACTCCCTTAATGATTGTGGAAGTAGGAAGTGTTTGCTTATTTTTTCCAACCTGGTTTCTGAATATTTGTTTACATTTTGGGAAAAAATTGCTACATATTGTAACCTGTGAATTCCTGGACCTGATATCAGGTATTGAGTTGGCATTTGGCAGCTGTTTGACTGGAGCTACCAATATGAAGTCCAAGGAGATCTCAATGCAAGTGAAGGAGGCCATCATTAGGATCAAAAAACAAAAGCGATCTATCAGGGAGATAGAAAAAACTTTAAGAGTGGCCAAATCAACAATTTGATACATTCTTAAAAAGAAAGAATGCACTGGCGAGCTCAGCAACACCAAAAGGCCTGGAAGACCACGGAAGACAGCTAAAGTGGATGATCGCAGAATCCTTTCCTTGGTGAAGAAAAACCCCTTCAGAACATCAACAGAAATCAAGAATACTCTGGAGAAGGTAGGCGTATCATTGTCAACATCTACAATCAAGAGAAGCCTTTATGAATGTAAATACAGAGGGTTTACAACAAGGTGCAAACCACTGGTAACATTCGAGAACAGGAAAGCCAGATTAGACTTTGCCAGAAGACATCTAAAAAAGCCTTCCATGTTCTGGAATAAGATTCTTTGGACTCATGAAACCAAGAATGTAACTTGGAACAGGCTCACTGGTGTTTAATGATGATGTGACTGCTGACAGAAGTAGCAAGATGAATTCTGAAGTGTATAGGGCTATACTCTCTGCTCACATTCAGCCAAATGCTACAAAACTGATAGGACGCTGCTTCACAGTACAGGTTAATGACCCTAAACATACTGCGAAAGCAACTCAAGACTTTTTGAAGGCAAAGAAATGGAATATTCTTCAATGGCCAAGTCACTCGCCTGATCTCAACCCAATAGAGCTGCTTTTCACTTACTGAAGACAAGACTGAAGGCAGAAAGACCCACAAACAAGCAGCAACTGAAGGTGGCTGCAGTGAAGGCCTGGCAAAGCATCTCCAGGGAGGAAACTCAGAATTTGAGTTTTGAGAACATGGGCCCCAGACTTCAGGCAGTCATTGAGTGCAAAGGATTTTCATCCAAGTATTAAAACTATGGATATATTTACAATTATGTCACTTTGTCCAAATACCTTTGAGCCCCTGAAAATGGAGGTACTTTGCTTAAAATGGCTGTAATTCCTAAATAGTAAATGCCATATTTTTGTGGAACCTGTTAAAATAAAGCTGAAAGTCTACATTTCAATCACATCTTGATTGTTTTATTTCACATCAATTGCGGTGGTGTATAAAATATATATATATACTGTAAAAAAAAAAAAAAAAAAAAAAAAAAAAAAATATATATATATATATATACACACACACACACGCACCTATAAATATATATAAATATATATATATATATCAATAACTTGGAGAAAAAAGAAAGACTGCTGAAGAAACAACTGTTTATAGCTAATGTCTTGCAGATGTTTCACCACATTAAATGTAACTATAAATGGTAAAAACATGATGTGTCATTCATTAATATGAAAATCGTTGACATACATTTCTGTGGTCTAAGAGGAAAAAACAGCTCTTTGGGATGTGCTGTTATAGAAAAATAATTAACTGTTCTGGATTATTTTCCCATAGTGGCATGCTCTATCATGTTTTATTCCTTACATATCTCAGCACTAACAGAAATCTTATTGGTATGCCACTGAGTAAAGCGCTGAATTTCTGTTGTTCCGTCAGGGGTAGTGGCTACTGCTGAGGATCCATCGGCAATTACAACTATTCAGTCAGCTGCCACGTTTTCCTCCGAGCAGCCAATAAAATACCTGTTCAAGACAGAGGGAGCTGGGGGGCAGGTAGGGGAACTGTACCCTCCCATCGGGCAGGTAGGACAGGAGTAGAAGTGATGAAGTAGTATTACACTGCTCTATGAGCATGTCTCAATTCAAGTGGTTGGAGTGGATATGTTTTGTATTAGCATGTCTAACAAACTATAGAATGTTAAGTGATGTGTTGTACTAGACGTTAGTGATCGTCACTTTTTTGCAGGTGACCTATCGGGTAATTCAGGTTGCAGATGGACAGTTGGAGGCTCAAACAGATGGCACCACAGCTGTCAGTGTTGTTGCTGGGTTTCCTGCTACAGCACAGCCTGTTACACAGGCAAGTGTATGGTGATGTATGCTACATTCTTCATAACTGATTATCATTCTGCAATGTAACTAATATCTCTGCTGGTCCGTGTAAATAGGCTGTGTTCTCTCAGTCTGAAGCCTTAGAGGGAGATGGCACAGAAACCCATTACACCTATTACCCTGCCACTATTTCGGATGCTGGAACAGGCACTATGGTCACTGGGGTCCAGGCCTCTGACACAATCCTCAGCCAGGGCACACCTACAGGTAATGTGAAAAGGTCTTTAGCATACACTAAGCTGGAATGGCATAATAGTACGATTTCATAATAGACCCTTTTCACGCTTCCAGGTTTTACTGAATAGAAGTTGTCATATTATGGGAAACACACCACCAACACCCTTGTTACTGTTGTGATTTGTATTGAGTTGTAAACAGTTTCTCACTTTTTCCAGCATTTTTTACTTAAATTTTAAGAGATTTTTTTCTTGCAAATATGACAAAAACATTAAATATTCACTTTCCAAAAGAGTGTTAGTTAAAGGTTTAATTTGATAAATAAGTAAATAAAATGTGACACTACCATGCTCACTTCAATTTGGTAGATGCAGTGATTGCTTTCACTGTCATTAGATTGTGCATGTAGTGTAGGCTGGTCCTTTGTTTCAGTTATTCAGTACAGAGAGAGGGAATACTGATGTTGACCTACATTGCTGGTATCTGGCACCAAGACATTAGCAGCAGATCCATTAAGTCCTGTAGGTTGGATCGGACTTGTTTGTCCAGCACATCCCACAGATGCACAACTGGATTGAAATCTGGAGAATTTGGAAGCCAAGTCAGCACTTTGAACTCTTTGTCATGTTCCTCAAACCATTCCTGAACAATTTTTTGCAGTGTGGCAGGGCGCATTATCCAGCTGAATGAGGCCACTGCCATTAGGGAATACCATTGCCATGAAGGGGTGTACTTGGTCTGCAACAATGTTTAGGTAGGTGGTATGTGTCAAAGTAGCAGCCACATGAATGCCAGGACCCAAGGTTTCCTAGCAGAACATTGCCCAGAGCACTACACTGCTTTCACAGGCTTGCCTTCTTCCCATAGTGCATCCTGGTGCCATCTCTGCTCCAGGTAACTGACGCACACACACCCAGCTGTCCACATGATGTAAAAGAAAACGAGAT